GATATTTGCACCTAAATTATATATTTATTTTGAAAGCGGTACAGTGGTATTTATGGATAGGATAAGTTATATAGAAAAATGATGGCTGATTAAAAATGACTCAGAAATGTAGAGACTTCTAGTAAAGGATCCCACAGTCTTAAGGCCAGACTTAGGGAAACGCAGGTTTTTGTAGGCAAAGAATATATTGAGAAGTGGAAAATAAATTAACTTCTTCAGAGGGATGCTAGGGCACCTTCTTCTTTCTGTCTTCCAAAGATACGTAATGAGGGAGTTCCTCTAAGATCGATTGATAATAATAAGGGAAGCGTGATGCATAGGATTTTATGATTCTTATGCAACAAATTAAGGAGAGTGGCTGAGTATTGAAATTTTCAGTTAATAATTCCTATGAATTTCTTAGACTAAATGATCAACATAGTAATAGGCAAGATGACCTTTTGGTGAGTTTCGATGTAGTATCAATGTACACTAACATCCCAAATCAGAAGACTTTCGAAGCACTGGCAGTCAGTCTGGATGAGCCCCCTAAATTTATTGGGGAAGTAAATCTTAGCAAAAGCTGAATCACAAGGCTACTTAATCTATCCATGGCTAGCACATACTTTACTTTTAATGAGCAGGTACAAGGATAGCAATTAAATCATGTTGAACTCCCATTTTAGCGAATAATTACGTCAACAATGAAGGAACATTTAATGGAAGAGGTAAGATTGACACCCAAAACCGTTAGTTAGATATGAGGATGACTACCTTCCAATATAGTAGCATGGTAGGGATAATTTATTGTTCTTACTTAACCAGATTGCTTGCAATGTAAAGTTGATAATGGATAGAGGACAATAATTTACCTTAGGCGACATTGGAGGAAACGAGTACAGAATTATGTAAATAAGTGGGTGGGCCATATGAAGTGGGTTGAGAGAAAGAGATGCGACACTAGAAGGTAGAACAAAAAATGGGGGCGAGGAGTGATGCCACAACGGTTGAACATAAAATTCGACAAAGGGATTGCCTCTACTTGTCACTGATAAGTTGTAACTCTATGCTTACGATGGCGCCTCTCACTGATGATGCCGGCGACACACATGGCCTTGCTATCCCTTTATTTGAAATTCAATGGAAAAATAAGATCTATTATATCAATGAAAGAAGATTCAGCTATCGGTCCACTATCACCTTTTTTATATTGGTCAATTAGATACAATAATATAACGTAATACCTGGGCATAATGCCCAGGCTTTATTTATAGTTAGTAGCAAATATAAAAAATCTCAACCATCCGAATTTTAATTCCTGAAGAACCAGACAATCACTGAACATAATTAGTTCACGAATGTACTCCACCGAATACAGGCTGCATGGCGGGATGCTTAACCCCTATCACACTATAAGCTATCCATTCGTAGGAATAGGCGTACTGCTCTTTGTGGCGTCGTTTAGAGGTAATCAGAGGATCATTTCAAATGTTTGTCCGATATCTTATACCATTACTATCTGAGGATAGATGCTTATATAAAAAAAGCAAAAATGAGATAAATATTTTCTAAATATTCAAAACATGGTCAATCATATTTAGCGCAATTTATTTCGTGATTTATAATATTGTCAAGGAGTCCATAGCCAGATATATGCAAGCAAAAAGAAAGGATGCTTTATGAAAATACATAGAAACAAAGAAAACCAGAATCATTTTTCAAGGAAAAAAATAATCATCAAATCGAGGAAGACACCGACAAATTCTTCCTACATAAGATTAAGATTAAAGGGGAGAAACTCTTGATGCGAATAAAAGAAAAGCATGTTCCGGGTATAAACTAAGCAAAGGCAATATGACGCTATAAACCCTGATCTTCGGCGAGAAATGCTAGAGGTATCCTGGAAGCGATATACAGCACAGATGATATGCACGCAGTGGATCAAGATAGGCTGAGCCGGAAGGATTTATAGTGAAGTACTCGATGGGTTACTTCATCTTGAACTGTATCACTTTCCACAATAAAAATACCAAGTACCGTCAGCAAAAGGTGGACTATTGCATTAATCAAAGTAGTTTGGAGTTATACTGTTCAGAATGGTTAAAGGCAGAATATACGAAATTAGGTAAGCATCGGAATAGATAAAAAATTAGATTGAATATAAGAATACTGATAGAAACGAGCAAGTGAGTACAATCGTCCCCATACAAATTCTGGCTTTTGAATAGAAAATGTACAACGATTCTAAAAATGGGCGAGTAAAGAAAAAATAAAGCCGGGGGAAATGCCACTTATATAAACTCTCAAATCAAGTGTGCGTGTATGTTACCATCGGACGATAAAGTAAATTAGGCTTACATATCAGCAATGGATTAAGGAGAGATTTCTGATGAGATATGATGAGGGGCTCAAACGTGTAGATCATTAATTCACAAAACGTGAGCATATGAACGAGAAGGGAATGGCGGAGAATAGCAAACACAAAATGGAAAGAATATTGAAGTCGGGTAAGCGCTGAAAAGCAAACTTATTCACAGAAGCTATTAGAAGGGGCATTGGTCTTAAGAAATGTCTGCAAGTGGTTTTGTAGTTCATCAATCAACGGCTCTGCCAGCTTAGAGTAGCCGGCCTCCGTGGGATGGGCATAATCATACATGTCACGATGCGAAATGGTGCCATTCGGCTGGATAAAGAGGTCCCAGTCGGGAGAGAGGAAGGTTACACCGGGCCGATGTAGCAGTTGTTCAGCAAGCAACGAGTTGATTTTCTCGTGTTTCACGCGTTTTGAGTTGAGATCACGGCCGCTTGGCAAAAGGCCCTAAAAAATAGGGAACAAAGTAATATAGCAAACCTTGTGGAATTATTTAACCATTATTAATGTAAATTTTTTTACAGACCGACTATTATATGCTCTAATTTAAAGAGAGCCTCGGATGTGGACCTTCTATTAAATTGATCAGTTTTAAAAGCCAAGCTATCTAAATTAATCGAATTAGGGACACTTGAAACCTTGCGCCTCTACGTATTAAAATACCGCATAACATCGTTCCAGGAGAATTTTACTATAAATGCAATGCTATTTATAGACCGCAGCAATTTGTATCGATAGGCAACTTTGACTTTGTCATTAGAATCGGTGGCAATTTTGTGTTTAGCTGCACCTTTCTTTTTTCTTAGGAGTTATGCGAAAGGGGAGTGTGTGTAGGCCTTATGGATAAAATATGAGAGGATAAATCAGAAAGGCACTTATTTAATGCTATGGCTAAATAAACGTTACTGACCATAATACAAAGCCAATTTTTATCTAAATGAAGAGTCAAATTAGTTGTCATCTGTTTGCATAACAAAGGATGATAGTGAGAAGAATCCAGCCTGAAATGCACTTAATTTCATATATGGTATGGTATGCAAATTGGTGCCCAATAGTAGGTGACGTAAATTTATTTATTGAATATTAATATTGATGTTTGAACCCGTTCATTTTGTTCGTAAAAGGTGGACGAATAAATTAATGGCCAAGAAGGTTAATCGTATTATATTTTTGAAGTTAATTAGCGTCACATTATTTCTATATTTTTTTACAATGGAGAGACTCATTTTGTTACATTGTACTATGAGAGATCTTGTAAAAGTATCATACTATTTGGCTGAACCGAAGTTTCAGGAAAACGTTACAATGTTACAGCGTATATGTAAAGCTAAAACCAAAATTAGAAAGATACTATCCAGCATTCTAAACTCGGAAGGTTTCCTGAAGTTACAGTAAAATGGTGGTTAAGTCATAATGATGTGGCATTTCATCAGATTTTAAAAAATCACTATAAGAAACTTGATAATTGGCTGGAGGGGACTTTCATTTTCTATGAAAGTGCATGAAGAAGAGATTCATAGGTCGATATCACCAGAAAAGGACGGATGAATCCCGTTGTACTGCAGCCGTTTGGCTTTTATACGATGTTTAGGTTGACGCAGTCCACGAGACTTCCTCTCTCGTTCCGAGTGAAAACGGGCTGAGTTTTCGTCCATCATATGATGGGTATCATTAGAGCGTGGTCTCATTCCTGTAAGTCTCAAATTAACACTAGGGCAAGAACACTATCCGGCTCTATCATAGCTCTTATATAGACTCAATTAAGCTAAAAGAAAATTTAAAACCTAGATAGATAGATATAGAGTGGTTTGGCTAATTATCTTTCATACTAGTCCTGCTACTTTTTCCAAACGGCTGC